GATTCCCCAAGCAGCACACAGGAGAACGACCGTTGACTTACCTGAACGGTCCTTCTATGTGTGCTGCGAGGGGAATCCAAACCCGCCCGCAGCTTCGGCTGGTCAGGGCTCCACCTTGATTGTGACTCTGTGACTAACCTTTCAACTTTTTTCCTGACTGGACTTCTAATATGACTTAGTACCTGTATTGCCTGCGGCATGATTGACATTGACATACATCTTTCTTCGGCGGACTTCGTGCAAAACTGAATCGGTCCAGTCAGAGGAGGCGTGGTCAAAATTTACATACTCAGTCTCTAGGCTAATGGACAAAGTTAACCCATGATTGGATTCCCCTCGCAGCACACATAGAAGGACCGTTCAGGTAAGTCAACGGTCGTTCTCCTGTGTGCTGCTTGGGGAATCCAATCATGGGACATGCCAAAGCAATTAAGTCCCAGGGCGGGAACTAGGCTGGTCAGGATCCTCCACAGAAGAAAGAACCCTTTGAAACACTCTCCGCCCAAAGGAGGCCTCAGCCGAGGCATACATGTCAACATTGTAGTGTCTAATAAATGGTGAAGGCGACGACCAAGTAGCCGCCCTGCAAATCTCTTCCACTGAGGCTTGTGTAGCCCAGGCCACCGTGGTGGCCGCACTCCTGGTAGAATGAGAAGTAATATGCCTGGGAACCAGTCGGGAATGGCTGTCGTACGCCAATGCAATGCACGCCTTCAGCTATCGGCCGATGGTGTGGGAGGACACCTTCTGTCCCATGGACGACGGCTGGAATGAAACAAACAGTGCCTCCGACCTCCGGAATGATGCCATGCGCTTCACATAACATCGGAGGGTTCTGCGAACATCCAAATGATGCTACTGGCGCTCCTGAGGATGGGAAGGATGCAGGCAAAAATCCGGGAGGACGAGCTCCTGAGCCCTGTGGAACAACGTGTTGACCTTCGGGAGGAAGGCAGGGTCCAAACGGAGCACCACTCTGTTAGGATGAAATATGCAGAGATCCGCACGAACAGAGAGCGCTGCCAACTTTGACACCCTTCTGGCTGATGTAATGGCCACCAGAAACACCGTCTTAAGCGTCAGTAACTGAATGCTGATAGAGTAGATGGGCTCGAATGGGGCAGTTGTGAGTGCACTGAGCACCAAGGTTAAGTCCCAGGTAGGATAACGGTGCACCGTCGGAGCCTCAGATTAGTCGCACCCTTCAGGAAGGCCTTGACCCATGAATGCTGGGATAAGGAACGGCCCTGACTGCCTCCAATCACCATGGATAATGCTGTGACCTGTTGGCGAAGTGTGTTGGGTGCTAGGCCCTTATCGAGTCCTGATTGTAAGAAGTCTAAGACTTGAGGCACCGAAGCCTTGATGGGGTCGGCCCCGGCGCGGCGGCACCACCTACAGAAGGCTTGCCAAGTGGCCTCGTATATACGTGTAGTGGATGGTCGTCGGGCCGCGTGGATAGTGTCAATAACCTTACTTGAATAGTGAAGGCCGGTCAGAATGGCCCGCTCACGTGCCACACGGCTAACTGCAGGAGCTGAGGGTTCGGGTGGATGAGAGCCCCCTGGTTGAGCTGGATCTGGTCGTCCGTAATCCTCACGGGCGTGAAACCGACAGGTGCACAAGGTATGCGTACCAGGGCCGCCTGGACCACATCGGGGCAACCAACAGCACTTCCACCTGTTCCGTCAAGATCTTCTGGATGACTGACGGAAGGATCGGGAGAGGGGGAAAGGCATAAAGGAGGCTGGCCAGCCATGGACTGCATAGAGCATCCACCCTCTCTGCCCCGGGAGTCTGGTACCTGGTGTAAAAGCACGGTAGTTGCGTGTTGTGTGGCTGCGCAAACAGATCCACCTCGGGACGGCCGAACCGGCGAGAGAGTTCCCGGAAGAGGTCGGGATGGAGTTGCCATACCGCTTGATCCACGGTAGCTCTGCTCAGCCAGTCCACCTGCGTGTTGGCCACACCCGAGATGTGCTCTGCCCGGATTGACAATAGCCTGTTCTCCGCCCAGTGATGTAGCTTCTCTGCCTCCAGCATCAGGGCCTTGGAGTGGGTGCCCCCTTGGCGGTTGACATGGGCCTTGGAGGCAACGTTGTCGGTCAAAACCAGCACGTGGTTGTGTGATACAATGTCCCGAAACTTTAGGAGAGCTAGGCGGATGGCACGTAGCTCCAGCCAATTTATGCTGTTTGACAGTTCCTGACTCGACCAGCGCCCCTGAGCTACTCGGTCCAGGGCATTGGCCCCCCCACCCAAAGAGGCTGGCATCCGTTGTAATCTGGATGTGGTCCGGTTCCTTGAAGGAGCACCCTTGGAGGAGCTTGGAGGACGTCCACCATCGAAGGGACCTGAGAGGCTTGTGTGGGAGTCGAACCATGGTCTGGGAATGGCTGGTGTGCGCCCTTTGGAAGGGAAGCAGGAACCATTGAAGTGGGCGGGCATGGAATCTGGCCCAGGGAACCACGTTGATACAAGAAATCATTTTTCCCAGTAATTTGGACAGCATTGCCAATGGCAAGAGTCTCTGAGATAGCACCTGATTTGTCAGGTGCTGGATGCTCTGTCGCCTCTCTGGAGACAGGGAGACTTCGCACGTCGCTGAATTGATGATGGTCCCCAGGTGAAGCAGCGATGTGGTTGGCTGCAGGTGGCTCTTGGGGAGGTTGAGAACTAAACTATGACTGCACAGTGAGTCATCGTGACCTGCAGATCTCGTAGGGCCTGGTCCCGAGATGAGGACAGAACCAAGATGTCATCCAAATAACAATTCACTCGTATTGGGACCGAGCGAAGTGATGCCGCTACGACTGCCAGGAGTTTGGTGAACATGCGCGGGGCTGATGACAGGCCGAAGGGTAAGGCCCAGTACTGAAAGTGATGGCCATTGAACTGGAAGCGTAGGAATCGCCGATGTGCCTGATGGGTGGGCACGTGGAGGTACGCCTCCTTGATGTCGACTGATGTCATCATGTAGCCTTGGCGGATGGAGGCCAATATGCTTTTGAGAGATTGCATTTTGAATTTTTGATATTTGATGTACCGATTGAGCCTTTTCAAATCTAGGATGGCCCGCCATCCCCCCGAGTTCTTGGGCACAAGGAACAAGATGGAATAGAATCCTAGCCCTTCCTGACCCCTTGGTACCTGTTCTACAGCCCTGATGGTGAGAAGGTGATGTATTTCGGCGTCCATGAGGCGCTTTTTTGTCGGGCACCTGGGTACGGGGCACTTGAACCGCCTCGGGGGAATGGAGAGAAATTCTAGAGCGAGGCCCAGCCTCATGACCTGAAGGGCTCAGGCATCAGACGTGATCTCCGCCCACTGATGAGCGAAGGCCAGGAGACGCCCTCCTATGGGTTCTTCCCCTTGTGAGTCACCGGTACCTCCGAAAGGACCGGTTTCCAACTCCACGAAATGGCCTCCTAGCTTGGGACTGCGCCTGGTTCTGCTGGTGACCCCTATCCCTGGCGCCCGCACGATCCTGGCCGCGATCCTGGGACTGGGAGAAACCCCTGTTGTAGTGAGGAACATAGGGAGCGGGGGCGAATCCGGAGTCCCTGGCCCGAAAGGGCTGTCGCCTATTATAAGGCTGTTGTCTCCTACTGGCACGGCCACTGGTGGAAGGGAGAACCTTACGCTTATCCCTGGTCTCAATGAGGATGGGATCTAGAACAGACCCAAACAAGGCTCCACCCTTGAAGGGCGTGGACGCAAGGCGCCACTTGGACTTGATATCAGCTTGCCAATGGCGGAGCCACAGCAAGCGCCGAGATGCCACGTTAGAGACTACAGCTCGAGAGGCGAATTTTGCTACACTAAGAGTGGCATCCGCAGAAAATTCCAAGGCTGCCATCAATTTGGTAATATCTTGGTGAAGGCGCATTTCCTCTGGGGCAAGCCTACTCTGCAATTGCTTAAGCCAGACCAAGGAGGTTCTATTAAAGAAGGACGCCACGGTAGCTGAGCGTAAGGCCCAGGCCGCAGCCTGATGGGTCTTGCGAATGACTGTCTCGTCCTTACGGTCCTCTGCCTTCAAACCCTCCGAAATTTCTGGTGGAATCAATGCAGGAGAGGCGAGGGCAGCAATAGGAGCATCTACGATGGGGAACTGGAGAAGACCTTCCAATTCTGGAGTAGAAGTGTACACTTTCCTATCCCCATTGCTGGATGGGTTAACCGCAGTCGGTTGATCCCACTGCTTTTGAATCAGATCTAGAAAGAGTTTGGGTGAGGGAATAACATCCTGCAAAGCCACTTGCTCAGCAAAGAGGCGTTCAGTTGCATCTAACCCCACAGCTGTGCTATCCTTAGAGGCTGCCTCCCCCATGTGGGTAGTGGTTTTAGCCTTATACAGTAATGACTTAAATAGAGAGTGCCGGAACAATCCAGGGGCAGTAGGCTGATCCAGGGGTAGCCCTTCATCATTGGAAAACTTCCTATCTATAACCTCACCTTCCTCCACTAAGGCCGACTCCTCGCTATAGACTGAGGGTAGAGGCGAAGGTGGGTCTGTCTGAGGAATAGACGAATCCCCTTGCACTGCCTGGGGATCAGGGCCAGTCTGGGCCACAGTGGCCCTAGGAACCTGGGCTCTACAATGCAGCTCCGCATCTACCCCCCTAGAAATAGCTGCAGATATCAATTGGTACAAGTCAGGAGGAAGGCCCAAATCCTGGTCTTCCATTGGTCTGAGGCCTGCAACAGTAGGAGTGAACGTAGCAGAAGGCCCTGCATGCGGGGGCGAGCGGGCCGAAGCCACACTTAGATCCGAAATGGGAGGAGGAGATTGGGGCCCCAAAACCCCTTCTGCAGAAATGGGAGCCTGAGGCAATTGGATATCAGGAAAACAACCCTGCTATGTAGGGTGCGCTGGGGAAGCACGTTATGAAATCAGCACCGGGGGTGAGCTGCTAGGTGCCCCAGAGGCCTTAGATGGCGCCTTGATCTTATCCTTGCGCTTATGGGACTTGTCCCTAATGGCGGATGAGGCCCGAGGCCTATGGCTCTTGGCCCTAGTAACGGCCCTGCCGGGCCTTGGGCTAGGCCCTCCCTCGCCAGGGGAACAGGGCTCAAAAGTGGGCTCCACAGTACCTTTGGATACAGACTGGTCTGCCATTGCAATGAGATATAGGGATTTGGAAAGGCTCAACCTCATTTAATGAGCAAACGCCACGAATTGCTCCACCACACAAAGCGCCACGTGAAAAACAGAAGCTGTGCTGAAAAACGACCTCCTCACTGACTCAGCAAGCCACAAGTGAGGGAAAGAGGAGGGCCATCGGGGCGGCGCCAATACCTGGGCGCGAAATTACACGCCCCGCCTCCTCCAGCAGATTCCGGCGCGTGCGCAAATTCCGATTCAAAATGGCGACCGCCCCAGATGGCACGAATATTCAAACCGCCAAGGCCCTGAATGGATGCCCGGGGATCCTGCAAGCCGCAAGCCCCGTGGCAAAATCGGCCACTGTTCCGTCCAACTAAACGCCATGTGGCAAGGGACGATGCCTGGGGTGAACTGCGCCGCGCAGGCGGGTCGCTCCCGGGGTGAAACGGCGCAGGGCGGCGCACCAGCCCAGGACGCGCACAAACAGAAAGCGAGGGGGGGGAACACCAAACTCCGCTCTTGGAAGCGCCGCTGCTGTGTCCCGGCGTGACGAGCCTATGGACCTCGCAGCTCCCGATCCCAGGCAAGAGATCCGACGGCGGGGAGGGTCTGGGCTGGCAGCGAACTGCCACCTCCACCTCTGAGTAAATAGATCAGTTTAAAACCGCAATATGTGATTGCTGAATCCAATTAGAAGATGAAATTTGTCAATTAGTCTAGAGAGAAAATTGAGATGCGTCTCGTTAGGCTGGACTGAGTAAAAAAACCTGACCCGGTCCAGTCAGAGGAGGCGTGGTCAAAATTTACATACTCAGTCTCTAGGCTAATGGACAAAGTTAACCCATGATTGGATTCCCCAAGCAGCACACAGGAGAATGCTTTAGCTTCAACCCTCCCCACCTATCTCCCCTACCCGGAATCTCTGTCCTTTGGCTGCTGTGCACAGCATGGCCAAGATGAAGAGGCCACTGTATTCCAGAATTGCTGTCTCCCTCTGACATTCATGGTCTCATCTCCCCTCTGTTGGGATTGCCAACATCAGCTGGTCTCAAGTGGAGGCTCTGCTGGAATGGGGCTTACCTCTCCCTTGCCCCCACCATCCCAGTCACCAGGTTTCTATAGTGGGCTTGCCCCAACTTCAGCAGTCTCAGCCAGTGGCACATGCACTTCAGAATGCACTCAACTTTTGAAATTCATGACCTGTTCACTGTTACATCTTTGAAGGTTGCTCCCTTCAACCATTTCCTCTTGTTTCTTTCCCTACTTTTTCAATAAATCTTGTTTTCATCTCTTTTTTTTAATAACAGACTATCCAAAACATGTCTAGTTAAACTAAAATCAGGGGGTATATATCCAAACATACTGGATTATCATGTTCATAAATCAGTCTTGGTAGTAGAGATTTATAATCCCTGAATATCAGTCCAATACCACAGCAGAAGTAAGAACAGACAACATGAGGAGCAATAAAAGTATTATGAAGACACAAACCTGCAGGATTATGAATCTTTAGCAGCTGAGCCCTGCAATTTTTCCAGTTTGTAACATTTTCATCAACCAAATAATCCTAAATTATTCCTCACAAAAATAAAATATAAACCTCTGAGGACACAGGACAGTCATGCAATCTCTTGTGTACAATTTTAGTAATTATAGCTTTAGTAGTAAACAGCAAGAAGCAAAAATCTGAACTCCTCTCAAACAGATTTTGTGAACTGAAGTCAGTAAGCATACAAATAGCATGGTTTTAAACTGCCACAATTAGAGAAAGATAATTATGTTTCTCTGCTAAGTGCATAATAAGTGTTTCAGGATGCATCTTACAATATAATTCAGCTTTGACATCTTACCTGTCTGGCATACTAGACAATAAAAGAAAACAATGGGTAGTCATTACTAATTAAAGGTCCCTAAATGAGTAATAATATAATTTCTAATAAATGCAAGTATTTGTATCTTTATACTTACAACTGCCAAAGACTCGATCTCTTCTTCTCCTGCATAGCTGGATTTTCTCTTGATGCCCTAAAGAAAATAATAAAAAGCCCAGATTATAACATCTCTCACACCTGAGCATTTCATACAGTTGGAACCAAGTTGGCATTTTATAAGTAAATCCACAATAACAGTTTTCCAAATTCTGAAACAGAATTTGAGATTTAGACTAAAAAAAAAAACCTACCACAGCTGTACATGAGGATATGGTATTATTGAAGAAAATCAGCATTTGTGCACTGTTGTATCCCCTCTTAAATTCAATTGTATCCCCTATGAAAAGTAATTGCAACCATCCGATACAATAACTAACTCACAACAATAACAATAATCACCTGTACAGGTTGAAAGTATACCTACTACATGAGAACAAAATGAATTTGTTTTGCTGCAATTTGTAACTGAAAATTTTCCTCATGCAGAATAATTCAACCTAATCATAAAAATGAATGATTGTGTTTTCTGTAAAAACTAACTGCTAAACAGTAACCTATCATGCCACTAGATGGCAACAAAATAGGGATGATATAGTTTACCTTAAATAGAAATTTTTTAAAAAATAGTTCAAACTAATTGGAGAAAGCCAATTTGGTGTAGGGTTTAAGGCATCAGGCTACAAACTTGGAGATCTTGAGATCTAATCCTGCCTTTTGCACAAAGCTGGCTTAGTGACCTTGGGTTGTCACTCCTTCTCAGCCCTAAGAAGCAAACTTCTAAAATCTTACCAAGAAAACCGCAAGGGCTTATCCAAGCAGTCAACCAAGAATTAACACTGACTTGAATTCAGTGTCCACACACAACTGGGTACCACTTTAAAAAGAACATGATCAGAAAGGAGCTGAGAAAAGCCAAATAGAGACGTGGAAAGGTATCTTGGCATGCCTACTGCCAAAAATGGATGGTCTTATACAGTAGAACCTCTGGTCACGAACACTTCTGACCATGACCAAATGGGGTTTCAACAAAAAAAAGTCCACTTTTTTCGCGGCTGATTTCCCCTTCCCCGCCATTTTTTTTGTAAGCGTCAAATTTCGGGTCTCAACCAAATTGGGTTGCAACCCAAGTTATAGAATGAATTATGGCTATGACCACAAGTTCTATAGTATTCAGTAAGTGGGACAGATGTTTAATCAACATATTTATCATAGAATCATGGAAACGGAAGGACATTTAGGTCACCAAAACCATCCATTGCTCAGTGCAGGAATTTAAATTAAGGCCTCATAGACAGATGTCTGCATAGCTTTCACTTGAGCACATTGAATGAAGAGGAACCACTACCTCTTTGAATTGTTTATCATGCAAGTTTTTTCCTAAATTAATCTGAAGGCCTATGAATTACATAAATATGTGCGCGCATGCGCACACTCACACACACACACATGGAGAGCAGAAAATGTTCTATGCTCTGAAAATTATAATGCATGTTCAGCTCTATGCAACAAGGTCAAAACCAGCCAAATGTACAACAGGACCTAGATAGGTTTAGAGTTTACTATTTAACTGCCTCTCCATGTCAAGTTCGTTTACACCAGAAGCACAGCTGTAATCAGTAATCTATTCCTAGAGTGATCATGTCATCTGTCTTACTGCAATTAGAATACCAACTTGGCCAGTTTTAAATCTGAAACAGATTTCATTCAGAAATAGCAACCTGGCATTAGGCCTATTTTCTACGAATGGCATGCTGCTTCCCAGTGGTATCCCTCCCAAGAAACAGCTGTTACGAAGCTACTCCACTCCCACAGCAGAAACTGGATCAAACTTCTAAGGACCAAGTGCCACATCCACTTTTGCTTTCCAGTTAGCTATTCCTTTTTCTCTTTCCCTTACTTTACCACTCTGCTTTTCTTCTTGGTGCTTCAACTTTTTCTGCTGCTCCTGCAACAACTTTCTTGCTTCTTGTTCTTTACTTCTTCCATCTCAACAGAATACATAAAATAATAAAACCCATTTTTTCCTCTTCTGTACCACACTTATGCTGTTTTTCATAGCTCATTTCTGAAGTGAAAGCCAGTCTGGTATAGTGGTTAAGATGCCAGGCTGGAAACCTGGAGCCCATGAGTTCTATGCATGGAGACCTTCTTAGGCAAGGTTTCCCAACCGGGTAACTTTGGATCAGTCACTCTGTCTTTTAGCTCTAGGAAGGTGGTTATGTCAAACTATATCTGAAATCTTATCAAGAAAACTCCAGGGACATGACCAGGCAGTCGCCAGGAGTCAACAGTGGTTTAAAGGGTATGCACGCACTGATGTGCACACAGAAACACACACATTTCTGAAGGCCTTTAGAACAGTCCTTAAAAATAGTCTAAGTAAATGATGAGAGATGCCTATAAAACCTGGATCATTTTATCTGTTCTCTTGCAATGTTTCCACATGTCATTTGTTATTGTTAGATGCTTTTTAATTCATTTTCTTAAAGTTAATTAATTGACAAAAATTAATCTTGTCCACTGATGGAAATTTGCCTACAAAAAATAATCTTAAACTTGTTTATATCTATAAAAGCACCACAAAAACGTATGTCATAATAATTCTGTTAACCTTTAGCAGTTTTTTTTTAAAATAAATTCCTTTTGTGAAATGTTTATGTAAAAAAAAACAAATACAGTGAAGAATTTTAGAAAGAAAGAAGCATTTTTCTCATGCATAGTAAACAAAATGTATATTAATCTGTCTACAACACTGGTGGGTCCCAGATCCCGTTGCAACCAGTATGATGCAACGGGGCCGAGCGTCCACCACATGCATGGGTGCAGCACGGGCGCAGCACGCACATGCTTACTTACCGCCCACGATGCTGCAGCTGCTGGGCGGAGCGTCACACAGGCGCCGTACGTTCCATGCGCAGAAGCCCCAATCAGCTCAAATACAGGTAAGGATGGTGGGCGGGCCCTCCGGAGCACCGTACCGGGGTGTACTGGTTGTATCCCATGGTTCACCGACAAATGCGTGCTCGACAAAAGCGCACCGATGAAACCGCGGTGAGAAAACCGCAAGATCGAAATCACGCCAACGAATGAGCACAGAAGCGTGCCGACAACAGCACGCAGACAAAAGCGTGCCTTCAACAAAGAACTAATAACAACCTAATAACCCTAAACCTAACCCTTACCTTAACTTAAATCGCGCTTTTGTAGGCCAGTTTTGTCAGCGCATTGTTGTGGGCACGTTTATGATGTCGCGGTTTTCTCGTCGCGGTTTTCTCGGCGTGATTTTGTTGTGCACACATTTGTCAGTCACGGTATCCCACCACTGGTCTACAATATTACCAAAAATTGCACTTGCCTTATCATCTCAGTCCATCGCACTGCTTCTTGAAGCTCCATTAGCCTTTCTTTGTACTGATTTCGTTCCATGAGAACCCGGGCCATCTCAACACGTGTGAATCGTTTTCTCTGAGCAGTAGGAATATCACTCTGCAGGGTTGAAAAGATACCAAACATGCTTAATCAAGTAGACTGGGAAGCACAAAAGCATATACAGTTTTACAGTACAAGTAGTCCTCGGCTTACAAGACAGTTGTTAAATGAGCTTTGTCCCATTTTACAACCTTTTGCCACAGCTGTTAAGTGAATCTGACTTCCCTTTGACTTTTGCTTATCAAGAGGCTCACAAAAAATGATCATATGACCCAGGACTTGGCATCCCTCATAAATACATGTCAATTGTCAAGCGTCCAAATTCTGATTATGTGACCATGGGGATGATGCAATAGCTGTTAAGTATTGAAAACAATCATAAGTCACTTCTTTTCAGTGCTGTTGTAACTTCAAACGGTCACTAAATAAATGGTTGCAGATTGAGGACTACCATTTCAGAGCTTTACAGGTAAGTGTGAGTATTGACAGCAGTGAGGGAAAAAGGGCCTCGTGACCAGTTTTGGCTCAAATGGAGAAAAACATGTTAATATCTTTCAGAATCTCTGATTCTCCTCCCACCCCACAACAAAGTATGTTACAGGATTGGGGTATACAAGCAACCTGTAAACTCACATTTCTCTACAATAATGCCGCAGAAAACTAGGAGAATCAACCCCACCATAGTTCTGTAAGAATAAGAGAAAACGTATATCCGATGTTATTAGTATGAATACATACATCATCCTCTTCCTTTGATTTTTGCCTTGCTTCTTCAGCTTCTGCACGGGCTCTAGACAAGAGGAATGAATCAAATTAGTCCAAGAATTCTTCTAGGAAACTCACTATAACACATTCAAGAATTTCATGCTCACTTTCTAAGCTCTTCCTCCAACTCCTTATTCTTCTCTTCAAGCTTTTGTTTGGCTAGTTTTACAGCTTCCAATTCTCCTTTCAGCACATCCTTTTCACATGTCAGCTCATCAACTTTTGCTATTAAGTCGTTCTTCACCACATTCAAGGCATTTCTAGAACACAGATGTTTACAATTAAATCACTTTTAGCAATATTCATTGATAGAAATAATGTCACTCTCAGATCTATCGTCATCACAGCAACATATACAATAAAGTACATGCATGCAATACATACAATATACAAGAAGCAAAAATAAAAATCTGATTTTACTTTTCTAATAATCTATTATTTTGCTAAGTGAAGCCAATGTACTTTAGAAAGGTCTTTTCAAGAAAAATCTTGTACACTCTCATGTTCTGAAGTAAAAAATCCTCATTTCCAGTTACCCTACCTCTTTCGCAAAATTCTATGCCTGTATACATGTGCCATTACACACAAGATTTACAGCAGGGGTTCCCAACATGAGGTGCTCGCACTCTCTGGGTGTGAGATGATATTCCAGGGGGTGCAAAAACTTAGGTTTAGAAGTTTCAAAATTGTAGTGTATATGCATAATTATATGTATATAATTATTCATTTTTGTAAGGGTTGTGAGAATATATCAGAAGCATTTTAGGGGTGCAGGGTATAGAAAAGGTTGGGAACCCCTGACTTAGGGGAAATTATTTTATCCTTTATCAGACAGCATCTCATGAGTATGCAACATCATGTTTAATTAAAGAAACAGGTTAGTGTATCTAAAATGGAGAAATTATTACTCACTTGGTTTCGAGTAGTTGTGTATTTTCTAGAATAAGGTTTTCAACTTCACGTCCCATTCCTTTCAAAAACCGTAGAGAATAAACAAACATTAAAAGACAGAAATGTGCTTTAACAACTGCAAGTTTTAACAAATGCACTGATCAGTATATTCAGCAAATGCTCTGGAGCTCACAATTCTATTGCACAAGACATTTCATTCATTCCCATCTTATAGAAATATGTACAAATTTGTATCCTTAATAAAATGAAATAATTTCACAAGCAAGGATGTTCTGTGAGCACTATGATCATAACCACTGATCAGAAAAAAAAATCAGATATAAAGTATTTTGCTCTTAGGTTGTAAATGAATCCAGTGTGGAGTTCAGTTTTGAAACCCAAAGGAGAGAGGCAAAATACTTTCGGTCCAAGCACATAAAACAAAATAAATTCTATCTCCATTTGGTAACCACGGTAAAACAACAGAAAAACTTTACATTATATAATCTCATACTCAAAAATAGGTGACACCACAAGAAATGTTGAATATAAGAAGCTCAAATGATAGAAAGCTCTTGCAAATGAGATGATGCCTTACCAAAGAAATCATGGTCTTTAAAGCCCATGCATCCCATGAAGAGCAAAAGGAAGAAGAAATATGTAATGAGAACAGTAAAAATGAAGTACAGAACAGTGAAGGCTGAGAATTTGAAACAGGAGTGATTTCAGGGTAAAGCCAGCATTAAATGGCTGCAGTAAGATATGTAAAGCAGCAAAACAAACAGTTAAAAGAGAGCTGTTTCTCTCCAAAGATCACAACAGGTCTGAAAGGGAGAATATCCCATCCCCAATAAGGTAGTATTCAGAAATACTGGTAAAACCTGATTTCACTATCAGAGCTGATAATAGCAGCCATTGCTACCTTTAATGCAAATGAATTTAGAAGTGAACAATGGATTACCCGTCCTCTTTTGTTTTCCCCTCAATAATTTTCTTTAGGGTTTTTAAATAAATGGGGCATTTAAATGACTGAAATGGTACACAGTTTAATGAGATGATTCCAAGTAATTTCCCACAAAAAAACAGCCCTTATCAAGTCATTACAAACCTCATCAACTAAGCCTGTGATGGCGAATTTATGGCACACGTGCCACAGGTGGCACACGGAGTCATATCTGCCGGCACACAAGCCATCAGCTCCATTGCACATGCGCACACCAGCCAGTTAATTTCTGGCCTTCCGGAGGGTTGAGGGAGACCGTTTACACCCTCCCCAGGTTCCAGAGGCTTTCCTGGAGCCTGGGGAGGGCGAAAACAGCCTATCCTGGCTCTGTGGAGGAAATACCAAGCTCAGCTTGGAGATGAGAAGTTCGGTGCCCGTGAGGGGGTTGTGCATACCTGCACATGTGGGGGCACGCATGTATTACGGCACATGCGTGCACACTATTGCACATGTTTGGCGCCCAACAACAAAATCACTGAATTAATCACTGAATTAAACCATGCTTATTTTTTTAAAACATTGTATCAGATTCCAATTCTTCTAAAGTAAAAAATACTTAAAACTTTTTCTTGTAGAACATGCTCTTAACCATAAATATTTCTTTATTTTTACTTTTTTTTGCTCCATTGAATCAAAATTGAATATATTTTAATGGAATGCAAGATAGAGAAGACTACATATTACAAGAATTATCTTTTGAAAGGGTGCAGTACAATATGAACATGTCTGATGTTTGACTTTTAATTGGGCCTTTTTACACGAATCTAATCATAGGTTAATTATTTTGGGTTGTGAATTGGCAGTTATCCACATGTACCTCCATTCATATTTAATATAGGTAAAATAAAAGAAGCCATTAATAATGTACCTTAAAAGATCCAGCAAAAGACTAATAGGAATACCTGCCTTCATAAAATGTGTAATGGTAGGAAAATGGTTGATATTACTGCATATACATGAAATGATGGGAAATGAGACCAATACGTGCAGGTATCCTAGCCTGATGACCAGACTCTTAGCAACCATTCAAAGTTATGACAGACCCACCTGCGAAAAACCACTTATGACCCTGTTCCCAGTGGCAAAAAACCACTTATGACCCAGACGTTATGGCTACTACAGTGGCTCCATAGTCATTTGTTCTTATGACTGACCTCAGAGATGCTGCACTGGCTTCTCCTTTGCCTATCCTCCCTCATCCTGTCCCACTGGCTCCCTACAGGCCTTGGGCCTGTTTTCTCCTCCACAAGGCCCCCACAGATTTCTGGGGTTCCAGCCTCATGGGGGGGGGGAGAGGGCAAGCCATTCCATCCCTCAGTGTCCCTGGGTCCAAGAAGGAGCCACCATTTTCTGAGCAACCACCAAGGAACTGTGGCTGCATCCAAATGGTAGGCACTTCCAGCATGCAGTCATGTGCCCCAAGGACAAAATGGTCACTTCTGTGCAGTATTGTGGAAAGCTTGTGGCCACATTGAAGCGGCAGCCACTTCTAGGACACAGCCATGTGGCCCAGAGATGAAGCAGTCTGCTCTGCTTCCCTAACCCACACAGTGCTGCAGAAAGCTCTGTTAGGAAAACACAACAGACTGCTTCATCACTGGGCCGCATGGCTGTGTCCCTATAGTAGCTGCCATTTCGGAGCAGCTACAAATCCACAAGTCTGGAGCTGGATATCTATGAAAGGTAAGTGCACAATGGGTGACAGATGGTAGGGAGGACAGGTAGGGCCTGGTGCGGAGAAGGCAAAAGGTCTATAGGAACTAGTGTGGAGGGAAAAGGCCTGTGGGGATCTGGGGAAAGAGAAGTCCAAGGGCTATGGGGACTTCTAATGTTGGGAAGTAGAGCACAGAGTGTCTTAGGGAGTGGGGAAAACCTTGGGGGAGACTGAGGCAGGTGGGTCTGGGCCTATGCTAGGTCTACTGAAGCTTTCCTCACTTCTAGACACCCCAAGCTCCACTTCACCTCTGTAACAGGGAGAGCAGGGGGGTGGGGGTGATTAAGCAAGGTGAACTCACTTAATGACTGTTGCAACATGAGAAGTACTGGGACTATCTGTGCATCATTTATTTAAGGCTTAAACAAAGCTACTTTCCTCACCAAAAGCCTTGCCTACACTTCAGAGTACAAAACTTTAAATAACTTCTACAGCAAATGGGCTATTTGGTATTTATTATGCTTGTACACCAGAAATTTCCCTCAGGGAATGGGGAAATTCTTGCAGGGAGGGTATTCTGTGAGCAATTATGCCAAAAGTTAGCTGAGCAAGGCAAAAATAAGCTTTTGAAATTCTTATGCATTTAGTACAATTTATTTCAATACCTGATGCTTTAATACAGGGGTGTCAAACTGGCGGTCTGCGGGCTATTTGTGTCATGTGCAGATCCACCTCAGCGAAGTGAAAAAAAAACTGTTGCAAAACCTCACATGATGGCAACGTGACGCTGCGAGTTTGACACCCGTACTTTAATATATGACAAGTAGGCTACACTATAGAAAAATATAAACCATGGGCAGAAGTTTGTTTGTTTGATAAGACACACTCAAAGTACTGCTCAAGTCTATAGATTTTTTTTTAATCCGCAGATTCTGTGCTTTCTGTGTGGGAAGCAGGAACACTCTCTGTCCATTTTGCCAGGGTAGCATAATCACATTCTAATTTTTTTGTCCTCCAACTAGCCAGCATTTGTAGTTTTCATCCTACAGCGTGTTTCCTGTTTGTGGGAGTTTCAAAGATTAGAAAACAGCCTTTTGTCCTGCATGAAGAGCTCAAAGAATAATGAAAATAGTTTCAGAAAGATTACTCCTTGCCATGTGCTTGTTCCCAATTATTTCCCCCGGTTGCTGTTTGCACTGGCAGAATTCGGATCAGTACCATAGAAAGGAAGACTATTTTTAATGAATAGTCAAAGTTTGGGGTTTTAGAATACTTGTTTTGAAGAAGGAAGTGTTTCAAGTATGTGAACAACACTTTTAACTGTTGGTATTCCGAGTAGAGAATAATTATCAGGCAAAATAAATTAAAAAACACTAGGCAGGGTGCTAGACAAAACAAATTGCAAAACAGACATTATGAAAGCAACAGCCAAGAATGCGGAACTTCAAAACAATCACTTTCAAATATATAAAAAGGATACACACCAGAATATTCTCCTGGGTAAGCAGCCCAAGAGAAAGCAAATTGGAGAATCCCATTTAACTAATGTTGCAAAAGCATGCCAAAATACAGCACAGTAAACTACTAATACAAAACATTTCATATAAAATGTGTTCCCTCAGATTGAGTACAGCTGGGCTTCTATAGAAATACATTATGCATATTGGTAGTCTACTTACACATACTATCCAAATACGAAACAATCTATGCTAAAGTAATTAAGTACATGGTTACAACTGGGTAATATTACAAATGATGACATGCCTATTGATCATTTTAACATTGCATTAATGATCTATTTGAATATACCCTTAAAATTACTTATTTTGACATAAAAGTGAAATTGTTGCAGTCTCTAACATATCTCTTTTTTGTGCTTTTACTAGAGCCATTTCTCCTCTTTTCAAAGCCACTCCCCACTTCTCTAAACAGCAATAACATAACTGAGGCCATACTAATAAGGTGCCACTATGAAGTGCCTTTTTGAAAGCTTATATCTATTATAGGACTAACTGTAATGGCTCAAAAGTCTTATTTTTAACAAAATGCAGAAACAGTATGAGCATAACACAAAGTGATGCTAGTGAAATGGGATAAGTTATAAAACATTGGAAGTATCTCCTATTCACTTCTGGGTTTTATTTTAAGCAAAAAAAGCCAGGGACGAGGAGTTAAATTACAGAGAGAAGTGGAAGAGAGAGAGAAAGGAAAATTAGTATTTTTCTGTATTTTTCTCCCTAGCATAGATATATACTTTCAAATGAATAGAAGAAAGTGTATTCTTCGCATGAATTTTGGGGTGGGAGAAATATTTGAAGAAGGAACAACTCACATACATTCCAGTTGTACAACAAAAGATATGTTACTTAAAAAAAAACCACTTGACATTTTAAGGCATGTTAAACATGTTAAACATCTTATTCCTGCTGATGCCGCCATCTCCAAATACATTGGACATCCGACAACAACCAGGCAATACAAGTAGTCCTGGACTTACAACAGTTCATTTAGCGATCATTCAAAGTTACAACCTCACTGAAAAAAGTCACTTATGAGCACTTTTCACTCTTATGAACGCATCCCCATGGTTATGTGATTTACATTCAGATGCTTGACAACTGACTCACATTTATGACAGTTGCAGTATCCCAGGGTCATGCAACCATCTTTTGCCACATTCTTAGGCAAAGTCAATGGGGAAGTCAGATTCACTTAACAATTGTACTACTAACTTAACAACTGCAGTGATTCATTTAACAACTGTGGCAAGAAAGGTCGTGAAATGGGGCAAAACTCATTTAACAAATGTCTCACCTAGCAACATAAATTTTGGGCTCAATTGTAGTCGTAAGTCGAGGACTACCTGTATGTAAGAAATAACAACAAACAATCTAGAAAAAAGAAAAAGAAAAAGGAGCAAGATAGCAAACCTAGCAGACATCCCAAATATCCCATTAATGTCTATTTAATGATTACATAGAACATTACCTTCTATTTAATGAGGGGGTTTCAGCTACCTCAGCTCAAAGCGTGAGAGAACAACCAGATTTTTAGGGCACTCCCCATTTCAAGATAATTACTGTACTAATGTCAAAATCACTGCATTTTTTAAACTTTAAAACAGGGGAAACATTACCTTCCCCATTAATTCCTAGATAGAAAAGGCATCTAGGAAGTTCTTTTATAGGTAAAAAGCTACAGATTTCTTAAAACAAACTCCTCCTTTCTCTTCCGCCTATCCTCCAAAAGATTCCTCACCCACATAAACAAAACCAGACTGGGGGAGGTGGGAGGGAAACTGAATGGTAAGGTTGAAGAAATGTAAAATATTAGCGATGTTCATCTAACATATATAAATAGCAACCGAAAGTATAATCATGCAATTGGAAGGTTTAAGAAAATCGCACCACAATGAAATAAACAATATGGTCACCATCACTACCCACTATTTGAGCTGCAAATCTCCCAGATGATTGGCCGAAAGACTGGCTGCTAATAAGAACCTTTTTTAATGAATAAGTACAGCCATAAATATGATTTGTGTGGCAAACATTTAAGCATATGACAACATTAAAGGTAAATAGTGAATGTTTTCAACTCTCTTCACTGGACGATTTATGTATGGAAATATCTTGAGTACTTTTTTCTTACAATTCTATCTTTGAACTATTTTGTAAATTGCTTTCACAATTTCTAAACAGTTTTTAAAAAAAATACTCACCCAGCAAGTCTGCTCCTTCATCCACATCCCCAATCAGACCAGAGCCAGCAGAAGATAGTTCTTCAAACAGTGATTCTGTGTTACGATCAAATGCTTTGTTCTCTATGCCTTTGGTAGGAGTGCTACACAATAAAATTCAAATGTAGGAGGGAGAAGAATTAAATCTTTAAAAAAAAAATACTTCTCCAGTCTACATCTCAGTATACAAATGTGCACACTTTCTAAATCTTCAAGGAGTAGACAGTGTGAATTCTGCTGCATAAACAATTATGCCACAATTAATGGTTTTATTATTTAAGAAAGCTAAAACAAAAACAACACATTCAGCAATCACCCTTCCCACTTTCCTTTCTCTTTCTTTTCCCGGTAGGATGCAGAAATAACAAGCACATTAATCAAGATACTATTTTCTCCTGCACAACACTGATGTTTGCATAGTTACAAGCTCCTCTGATTCATTTGTCTTTCTTCCTGAGTTTTGTATCCACATTGCCACCATAACAAGTTAGCCATTTTCATTTCTACACACACACACACACCACACCCTGCAATCTTTCTCCATGCTAAGCAGGTGGAAATGAGAAGCAGCGTAATAATCTGACATGTTACCCTTAGGAGAAGATATTGAGTGATGGCTACTGCGTGTACTGTTTTGCCCTTCGTGGTAGATTAAAGATTTTTGGGCCAGCGTGTCAATGGAAAATCTGAGTGCCACAGAATGCCTGAACGCTACTACTGACTGCAAAGTATTGATCAAGAGATTGGTCATATGCCATAACAACAACAAAATAGCTGCAACTCTCTTGTAATATTTGTATTTTTCCTAAGCTCTCTGGTGACTGAAAATTGCTGGCAAAATACCTTGAACCTTTATATCCACTAAGATCTTTATCCATATCCAACTCTGGAGTGGATTCAATGATTGCCTGAACTTCAGATTTGTCATCATTTTCATTAGCTCCTTCAAAAGAAATAGGTAAATATTGTCAAAACCAGGGAATATGAAATAGAATTAAAGGCAAAATACATAGGATCTTCCCTAATTTTATTCTCAAAATATAATCCGGTGAATTAGTTAAGAATGGGAGAAAATGACTGGTCACCATTGATACTGAGAGCTTCATGATGAAGTAGGAACTAAAATTTAGCTTTATCTGGTCTGATTCCAACACATAAAATCACTACACTACACCAGCCACTGTATCAATGAACAAGATCATTAGTTTCCAAAATTAATGGTCACTTTTCACAGAACATCTTTTCTAAATGTGAAAATTTTTAGTAACACATGCTGTCATATAGAAAATAATATTTTACCAGCATAAATATCCTTAAATGTGGCAATTTAGTCTTAGTTGATCATACACTAAAACATGCTTGTGATCAGTAAGGCCACCTTCACACGACTTTCCTGCTGCCTTCTATATGCGGATGTCTTCCTATGAGTAGTACAAGTAGCATTCTAAATATTTATTAATTCTAGAACCTGTAGGCATACTGTGGATTTTAAATGACCCAAACCATTAAACGATTAAAAATGTGAATAATCTAGCAACTTACCGATGGATACATTTCTTGTTTCCTGAGCTACCTGCACTTCAATGTGCTTGTTTATGTCCAATTTCTGGTTCCATGAATCAGAATTCTTTGCAAGGCCTTCCTTGTCTTCATGCAGGGGAGACTCCGCAGACGTAAGCACATCTGAAGCAGCAGTTAAGATTGGTGTAGTAGATTTGGACCCTGCTTGGCTAACATCAGAAATTTCATCCTAAAGCATAAATAAGTTTGGCATAATTACAGAATTTATATGGCATATCCCATAACCCTGAATTAATACTTAACTACTTGAAGTCAGATAATTTACTGTGTTTTCCAGCTAAAAGGTGCATATTATTTTTTGCAAAAGCAATTTCACTTAAAAAAAATCTCTTAATGGAGATGCCACCCAGTTATATTCAAGGTATCAATCTTAGTGATACAAAACACACTTTTCTCATATTCTAACTAAGCATTTAAGTCTTTTTTAATTAACTATTAGCCTTTCGAGGTCCAGACAAAAAGCACAACTATGAGTACCTCACTATCTTTACTGTAAGCTTACATTAACAGAATCTTGCAAGATTTATCCTCTTTTTTACTCTCTGGAAAACTAGGGAAAGTCCTTTCTGAAATGCTTTCCAGCCCCACCCCTTCTGTGGACTGAGAATTTTTTTACATGATGTAAATTGCCATGTCTGCAGCTCTTCTTCCTATCTCTCAAGTTCATTCCCACATCATTCCATTAACCCACCTAAAGTCAACCTACAATACGTCATTTTCAAAGCTTCATCCTCTTCAACCATATTTTCCTTCAGGAGGCCTCAATCCCAATGCCAAGAAGTTCAACTCCTCATTAGCTATACATCCCCTTGTTCCTAAAAATCATATTCAGAAATCATATTCACCTGTTCAATGACTGGCATTGCTGAAACATTGCACAAGCAAGAAAGGAGGTGGAATTTATAGGAATCAGGCTTTTTAAAAAAAATTGAAACAATATTTTATTAGCAATAGCCCTTAGACTTATATACTGCTTCATAAAGGCTTTACAGCACTTTCTAAGCGGTATACAAATGCATATTGCCCCCAACAATCTGGGTCCTCATTTTATCAAGCTCGGAAGAATGGGAGTCAACCTTGAGCCTTTGAAGATTAAACTTCTGGCAGGGGGCAATACTGCATTCTAACCACCACACCATCACAGTTCCTATTGTACCAGTTTGCCAAAGGAAATGAACAAAAGATATATGCCCATAAAATTTCACTTCTCTTTTACTTTCTATAAGCAAAGTATATGTTGTTAACATCATTAGACAATAAGTACTAGATTAATATATACCTAATTTTAAAATATGCAGAATTAAACATTGCATGTGTGTTTAAATAATTTAAACAATTTACATATTGTCGTATGCTATTTTAATACATCATTTATTTTACATGTCGTACATTCAGAGTATAAAAAAAGACCGTTGGCTTACCTGAACGGTCATTCTCGGGGCACTGCGAGGAGAGTCCAAGCGTGGGTTAACACAGCCTATCTGCCCTTGGACTGAGTGATGTTTTTCTCTTGACCACGCCTCCCTTTGCCTCACCATGCTCAGTTTAAAAACAAAGGAAGACAGTTCTGTAATCAATTACAGTCAATACAGTCACATCATGCAAGAAAAACACCCCGGGTGGGTTTGGAATCTCCTCGCAGTGCCCCGAGAACGACCATTCAGGTAAGCCAATGGTCTTTCTCCAGTGCACTG